AGACAAGTCCCTACTTGGGAGCGGCTACGTATGCTGTGTTTTTGGGAAATTGTAGTCGGTGATTTTCAGCCGTTCGGATGTTATCATCCATTAAATGGACGTTATCAGTGGTTATCAGTCCCATAGAATGGCTTCAGACTGTTTACCTACTACGCTGGAAGGCAACAGTCTGCTGGACTCCAGTCTACTTTAACCTAGCCACGGTCATTTTCTCTAAAACTAACCTTAGTGTCTTTATGCCTCAGATTAACCAGCTGACAGTCTGAAGCCATTCTATGGGACTGATAACCACTGATAACGTCCATTTAATGGATGATAACATCCGAAGCAGGTGCGATTTTCCTACTTTCTTTTACTACTTCACTGATATTACTACTACTTCTACTTCCTGTTATCTTCTTCATCATCGTCTTTTTCACCAGTAGAAACAGCCGGTTGTTGATCACGTGACTCCTGTGATGTGAAAAAAGTGTTTCCATTGCAGTTTTGCGAAAAACACCAATTTCGATACGACTGAAAAACCACCTCATCCTAGCGCAAAAACATTTTGTCGAAAAACGTAAATTTTCTTTAAAAATTGACGTGTTTCCATTGAGCAAATTTATTTTCGAAATTCTTATTTGCACATTTTCATGGTGAATGGAAACACAGCTAGAGTGTCAGCCACATGGACAGAAACTGGAAGTTGGTTCCACAAGAGAGGAGCTTGATACACCGTTAAGTAGGGATGGGGACGATCCGATCCAGTATCGGTATCAGTCTCCAGTTCAGACATTATTAACAGATTGGATCTTTCTGATTCCATGTGTGAAGATTTCCAATCCATGAGCCGTGTCTGTGCTATAATAAAGTCTGCTGCAGTGACTCCAGAAGTGATTCCTGACTGTCTGCAAACTGTGGAATGGATTTTCACATTTGTATTGTTTAAAGAGTATTATTTAATGTTTTTCAATAAAATAAGATTGGAACATTGAAGGTGTATTATGAGCCTGTAGTCAGCAGGTCAAACATTTTAAAGATCATTCCTGAGGTTTGATGGAAACTATAACTTTATAATTTCTCCACAGCAGATGATGTTAAAAGTCTGACTGAAAGGAGGTAGACAACATTTATTTCTCCATATGATGCTGGACATTTAAATTAATTTTGACAGCTTTACAAAATGTTAACTTTATTTTTGACTCCATCAGAAAGTTGATGTTTCATTGATTTTGCGTTGCAGCGTCAGGAGCAGGCGTCTGAGGAGAACGCCACCCCAATCACAGGCCCCCACCTGACGCTGTCCTACGAGGACAGCCAGATCCTGGAGGACGCAGCGGGGCTCATCATCCACCACATGAAGAGGCAGACCAGCATCCACAAGGAGGACAAGTACAAGATCAAACAGATCATTCACCACTTCATCCCAGACATCCTCTTCTCACAGCGTGGTGAGCTGTCGGACGTGGAGGAAGAGGAGGAGGAGGAGGAGGAGGAGGAAGACATGGAGCTGGAGGAGGGGGCACCAAAGAAGCACAATGGGGTCTCAGTTAGCGGGTCAGCTTCTAAGTCCAAGTTGCTGTACAGCAGCATGGCAGCGCAGAAGCTTCGTGTGTGTGAGGACGCCTACAACCTGTTCCTGGTCAACAACAACTGGTACATCTTCCTGCGGCTGCACCAGACGCTGTGCTCGCGGCTGCTGCGGCTCTACGAGCAGGCGGAGCGGCAGATCGAGGAGGACGTCCAGGAGCGGGACTGGGAGAAGGAGGTCCTGGGCCTTAAGAAAGACAAGAACGACAATCCGGCCATTCAGCTCCGACTCAAGGAGCCCAGTGAGTGAAAACCAGCTCTGGTTTTTCCTTTTAGAAAAGATACTGAAACTTTTAAAACCCTGTAGTTCAGGGCTTCTTAACCTTTTTGACCATTTATTTAACATAAAGTGACACGAGGCCCAGTCAGACATTACCAATGTATGGATCAAAATGATAATTATTATAAATCTGGGTTTAATTTTTATTGTATTTACATCATAACTTAATTAAATACTCTTACAAGTAAGTGTATTTTAAATACACTTAAAAGTAAAACTCCTGTCAAATAATCACAAAACGTGATGTTATGA